GAGAGAGAGAGAGAGAGAGAGAGAGAGAGAGAGAGAGAGAGAGAGAATGATGTTTCTTAGACTCCATGATTAGAATATAGGGAAGAGAGTGGCACCTCCCACCACGGTTTTGTCCCTTTTCTCTGTCCAGCTTCTGAAAGTTCTTTATTTCACCATGGTGGCAAGGGCATGCAAAGCATATAGATCTGCTATGTCAGAGCCAGGAGTAAATGCTGGACTGGACAGAAGGAAGAGGGCAAAGGAGCTAGAAAGATGCATCTATCTCTTGTCACCTAGTGGGAAACTGATAAAGAATTGACTTGCTATCAACATTGGAATGAATAGAAGACTTCTTATAGTTCCAGGGGTTTGTTAAACTCATTCACTCTGCCCTATACCAGATGGCCAACTCTGAACTCATCGACAAGTGACCCTTGGCAGCTAATTCCAACTGCATTTTGCCCTCTGTTGTACAGTATTTCAGTGACAGAACCCAACACGTGTGTGTTTGGCAAGGCTGGCGGAGGTTAAGAAGGAGCTGAGTATTAAGTTAAGGTGGCTGAACAGCAATGGAAAGATGATCCCTGGCCTTTTGTGATCTCGGGAGAAACTGGGAATTGAGAACCTTGTGCGGTCTTAGAAATCACCTCCAGCTTCCCTCACAGGCTGCTGTTTCTTAGGAGAATCCCAGGGAAAGGCAGCAGGTACAGCATTGTTTCTGAGTTTTTTCTCTCCCATCCTCCCTTCCTCAGCATGTCTCTGTGGTTCCGTTGAATGACCCTTGGCTCTAGTTGCCTTAGGTCATTGATGGGAGGAGTATTTATTTTATGTTTTCATCAACAGTGAAATAGTGGATCCTCAATCCGCAGAAGCTGACGTCAGGCTCAGAGCAAGTTGTAAGAGTTACCCACTGAAAGCCAGTCCCCCAAATCTTCCAAAGAAGCAGATGGAGCACAGTTGAGTGAAGGTGAGAAATGACATTTTCTTCTTTCCTTCCCCCCTCATCCATTATTCCTTAGAATATTGATGCTAGTAGCTGATTGGCTCTTCATTTTGTCTCTCCTGCACAGATACCATAAAATGGCCAAGAACTTTAATGAAGACCAACTGCTTGTGCATGTTTCACCCTGGCTTTGATTTAGAGAAACCCTGGAGGATGGAGTCATCACTGAAAAAGGAACAGCAGCTCTCAGTTTCAAAGACCTCAAGACCCACTGAAGAGGACAGTGAGGCCTAGGACCTATACCACTTTATTTTGGACTGAGACAAGTTGGAGAGCCCTCACCGAACCCTCTTCTTGACATTTAAAATCTTGTATTACAATGTATGAGTTAAAAAAAAAAACACCTGAGCATTATCTGCGTTAATTTGGAAGGAGCAACTTCCAGTTCTGAAGTGTTTACTTGTTTATTCTGCCTTGTCTATTTTCCCCCCTCTCTTCACCCAAGAAATCCTGAATCGGAAATTAAAGTGAAAATGTGGTTTTGTCCTGGAAACAGCTTTACAAAGGCAACAGTTTTATCCCCCCACCCCAATTTTCAAAGTTATGGTCCTTGAATGTCTTTTGTCAGGGTCCCAAGATGTCTGACTGCAAGGTTCTTATTATCTCCTGGCTTAGGGACATTTGAATGAATAAAGATGATCTCAGAAAGTGTTTTCAGGGTTGTAGGTGTCGCTGACTTCATAGCATAAAGTCATCCCTGCCTAGCTCCCAGTCTAAAATTTGCCCTTATCACCACTAGCAACTCTATGGCATAGCTACAGAGGCTCAAACTGTACAGACAAAAACAAAAACAGACACATGGGGAAAGATCTCTTGGTAACTTAATTTCCTGGACTTATACTGGTCTGACACAGAGATCTCATTTGACTCTCTTGATCTCCCTCCCATTAATATTTTCAATTCTGCAGTCACATTATGAGACACCTTAGAACCATGGTCTGTCTCTGCTTTTAGAAGGCAGTTCTGCACCATCTCCACATGGAAGAGAGGCTGGTGCCCTTGTCCATACTCTTGGCAATAGCTATTGCCTTCTTGATCCACAGAGCAATTACTTTGCCTGTCTAAGTGTGGCAATACTCAGTCATTGATATAATGCACCATGACCAGCCCTGGTAATGATTTGGGTGGTGCTGTGCCTAGGGATGATTAGCTGAAAACACATACATTTTTAGACTTTAGTTTGCTTCCAGGAAATATCTGAGTCACATTTAGTCTGAGTGTTCGAACTGAGTGTGGTTATCAGCTGGAGTTTTAAATCTACTCAAACATGAATGGTATTTCAGGTTTCTGTACAATATATGATATGTTCTGCATGGTGTGTTAGAATGTGGCATAAATTGCTCTTTGTGAAATGTGATTTCTGTCCAGTCTTGAAGTTAGAATGGTGGCGGAGTAATTATACATATAAAAATTGACTTCTGGTCTATAGAATGTAAAGTACTGAGTCAGTATGGAGATGTTTGAAATGACAATTCCTAAGACAAAGCTGAAGGGCTCTATCTGTAAGCAATAATGCTGCTCAGTCCCTAGCCAAGATCCTGCTCATTTAAAAGGGTCCTTTCTGAAGAAGTAAAGAATAAGGAGTGGTAGGATTTATGGAAATTGTGGTTGTGCTGACTTGCGTTATGTAAATGTGCCTGTTTTACAATAAAACACATTTGTTTTCTTTGGCAATGAGATTTCTGTCACCTTCCTGCAAACTGTGTCCTCAGTTGCTTTGTGGGGTAGCTGCTGGTAAGCTCAGCAGTGTCTGACCTGCCAGTGGCATGGCTAGGGGATGTTGGCCTGCTCCTTCTAAAAATTCTCTGGGGCACTCAGTTGTCCAATTAAGGCTTGTACAATCAGCTTGACTCATAGATTATTAGAGCCGAGAGGAACTGTAGATAACATTTAGTCCAACCCACTCATTTTAAAGATGAAGAAGCCAAAAACTGCGTAAATGAAATGAGATGCCCATTGTCTGCTCACTAGTTAAATCATGGCACTGGGAAGTAGAATTTTCAATCCAGTACCTTTCCCAAACCAGCTTAAAGAATTATCTGCAATTTTCCTTTATTCGCTTCTGTTTTGTCTTCTGCTGTTGTGGTTGTTAACCATGAGTTGACTCATGTGAGCCACAGGAAATCAACAGTTCTTTGGCCCTCTATGTGAAAGTCTACTGAAAAGGATATATGACGGTGGGTTGATCATTAACTCTTTCTGTGCATTAATTTTGTGTTTTGTAAACCTAATACTGAGAGCTATTTTGCATGGATTATTGTAATTGACAAAATGAGATGATACGCATGCAAGATACCACCATTGTTGTGGCTGATTATGTATGCAAAGCAGAGTGTCATAGTCTAGGCAGAAATTATTAATGCTGGGTCCATGAACTTGTTTTTTTTTTAATTGTTAACCATTATTTCAATATAAGTAATTGTATTTTGTAATCTAACATTTTTTATGCATTCAACAACATTCAGGAAAAGAGTCCATGGACTTCACTAGATTTACCAAAGGTATCCATGTTCCTCACTTTCAAATGATTAAGAACCACTGGGGGTCTAGAGCAATGTACTAACCTTTGTCTGAGTCTTCCTTAAGAAATCTAATCCACTTGAGGAACTGGATGCCATTCCTCCATCTTATGCGTCATTGGGCACAAAGTCACTCCTTGAACTGTCAATTCAATCCAATAAGCAACTAACTGCTAAACACTTAAATGTGCCAGGCAGCTTGCTAGGCACTGGGGAAAAAGAGACAAAGTGAATAATCGTCCCTGACCCCAAGGAATTGGAGGCAACATTCGGGAGACTGGTGCCCTTATTAGGACACCTGGAATGAGTCCTATCTTCACCTCTCCCTCTTGGAATTCCTTCAAGGCTCATCCCAGATATCATCCCATATACAAGGCCTGTCTAGACTCCCTGCTATCTAAAGATTTTGTATGTTTACTTGTCCATACATATATCGCTTTCCTCCAATAGAATGGACATTTTTTTAGGGCAGGGACTTTCTCACCTTTTTATCTTTCTATCCCCAACATAGCATACAGTAAGTGTTTAACCTAGGCTTGTTGATATGCTGAATCCAACAATGTAACAGCACTAGATATAGTAGTAGTAATTAAATATAATAATAAGACATGGAAAACACTTCATTTACACATAAAAATCCCAAACTAGCAGTACACTTAATTTAACAATGAATTCCATCTGACTGAGTGAGTAATTACTTCTACAGCATCATAATTTAGCCTATGGCTGACTTGGATTACTCTAATTTTTTTTGTTGTTGTTGCTATTGACCTTTTTATATCTCAGTCGGTCAACAAGCATTTATTTAGCATTTACTATGTGCCAGTCACTGTGCTAAGTGCTAGGGATAAAAAAAGGCAAAAAGCAGTCCCTGCCCTCAAGGAACTCATCTTCTAATAGTGGGGACGATATACAGGTAACTGTGCACATGCAAGACGTGTCCAGTATAAATAGGAGGTAATCTCAGAGCAGAACACTGGTGGGGATGAGGAACCAGGAAATACCTCTTGTAGAAGACAGGATTGAAACTGGGTTCTGAAGAAAACCAACGGAGTCAGTAGAGAAAGGTGAGGAAGGAGAGCGTTCTAGGCATAGGGGGGACAAAAAGGAGATCTGTATCTAAGTTGGTTTATGGTATAAGCTTGCTAACAATATTTCTGTACTCTATGACTTTTCTCTTTTCCCTTAAACAGGGATCTTTCAATTGTTTTTTTTCTAAATGTCAATAACCGTATTTCAACGTAAGTGTATTCTTTTGTAATCCTCTATATTTTATATTAATGCAATTAGTAATATGGTTCTGAGAAGGGGTCCACCAGACTGCCCAAGGGTCCAGGACATGAGGCAAAGTGAAAACCCTTAGAGTACTCTACCAATTAGGCTTTAACTAAGATTGGTACTGCCAATCAATTCGGTCATCCTCCTAAGTCACAGAGTTTCTTTAGGTAGCGTCTGCTGTACTCAGAGTACTACCTCTTTTCAGGAACTGTCTGTGTGGACTGGGAAGCAAGATGGGCTAAGTGCTTTACAAATACTATTTCCTTTTCATAGTTACAACAACCCTGGATGGTAGCTATTGTTGCTATCCCCATTTTACAGTTGAGGAAACTGAGGCAGAGGTCATGTGACTTGTCTGAGGTCAGATTTGAACTCAGATATTCCTGACTCCAGGCTCAGCATTCTATCCACTTTGTCACTGTGCCACCTAGAAGCCTCTGTATGTGCTCGTGTGTATATACATATATGTACATATAAGAAATATCTTTATTTTTCATGCTTCCTCACTTTCCAATGTCTTCTTTAGCTGAAAGCTCATGTCTGCATTTTCCTATCTCATTATCAAATCTCTGTTTAAATCCTGGCCCAGATCTTTCCAATATTCTCTGAATACTAAAGTTTTTTTTTTTTAGCAAAATTTTGTTATCTTGCTTCAATTTTTGATAACAAATTCGACCTCATACTGTCTTCTTTTTCTTGATAATGTTTCCTCGGGCATAGGTCTCCTCTGAACCAAGGAATAATTCTCCTCTCAAGTGCCCTTGACATATTTAAGGCCACTTTTATCACCGACTGGTCCTGCTTCTCTGATTATATCTTGATGGTGATAATCTTGTACCAAATTGTTGAGATAGAACTGATGAGGAGGCTATGCTAACTTTTATTTGGGGTCCGGGCTGAGCTCTCTCACTGGCCTCCTCTTCATTTTCCAGCACTGATTCCTTGGACGTTAGCTTCTCACCCATCAACTCATTTCACTTTTGAATGAATTCATCACTTGTGATTCTATCCAGGCCATTGAGAAAAGTTTCCTTTTTTGTGATTATGGCAATTTTGCATTATACTGTTGTGACCTTTCTTCTCCTACTTTGTTTTTTTTTTCCTTCTTCACAAATAAGACAATGTTGTCTATGTCTCCATCTTGCAACAGAACCTCTATAAGCTTGTGTCTTCCAATCTGTTATCGGTGTGATTTGCTTCCTATTCTTTAGCTTATACACATTAGGATACTTTATAGCTAGATGAGGCTGAGTTTTTCCAGGGCAAGCATTCCCAGGTACTGTTGTGCTTCTGCCCTCAATACTTCATGTTCTGCCCATCAGCTTCTCAGAATCTGGTGGAGGCTGGTACATATCAGTGTCAAGGAGATGCCATTTTATCTCCAGGCCGTGTATCAAGCCATCACCTACCCATATGAGTGTAGTCTCATCTTCTTTTTCAGACTTTCCTGTTCCATTTTTTAGTCATCTCTTTAGTTCAACATTCAACTACAGAGACAGCAGGTTCTTCCCCTTTGTACCTTAACAAAGGAATATGTGTCGTGGCACCCTATTGACACCAAATCATCTCTCTAGTTTTTGCAAACAGGTTTGCTATGTGATTCTAGTATCTTTGAGTAGCCTTTAAACCCTGAGCATGTCCATGAGATGACTCTGAGGCATCCATTAAACTACTCATCATTTCTGAGTCAGATGCCTGCCAATTCTGTTGTGATTCTGTCACCTTGTTGAATCACACTTCCCATGTTTGTTCCCTGAAAAGGACAGCGTGCTTTCCCAGAAAAGCTTCCCAACTCTGACTTCAAATGTTCCTCGGCAAAGATAAATTTGATTTTGGCATTGCCCAAGGACATTGTGTCCTTGTTCAGATCATAGTTCTGGCCTTTGTGCCACTTACAAGTGAATTATATTTTTCTGACTTAGAACTTCCTTCAGTCTCTCTGCTGCCAAGCCCTCTCTTTTTCTCATTAAGCCCTGTACTCTCTTGACCAGATCTTCCTTCTCAAAAGGGAATGTGTAAATCAATTCCCAAGTGCCATTTCCTGTTCTCAATGTAGCCAATATTTTGGCATGATCCAACAGATTGGTAATTTACAGAATGCCAGATGGTTTTTCCAGCCCTGACCTTGTTATGAACTATCTGTAAATCCCCTAGTTCTTTGACCTTTCTTTTCCATACCATTATTTTGATTCCCTATGTACTCTTCTAAAGTCAAGAGATCTCAATGAATTCCCAGTTCCCAAATATGATGTTTCCCAAATATATTAATCAACACTTTTCTAGGTAATGATAACATAAACATATTCAATAAACCAATAATTGTATTGATTATTAATCATCAGACCTGCAGTCTATATCATGATAAGCAAAAAGACAATAGTTATATGAAACAGATATGTATGAAATGAAACAGTAAAAGAGGCAAGTTAAAGTAATTAGTCATCAGCAGCAGCAGCACTATCAGACACTTTGTATGTGTGATTCCATGAGAAAAATGCCCATGAGAAAGAAAGGAAAAAAAATTCCTGGACAACACGTGGGACGGAATTTTAGCATCTGTCTCATTGATTTCATCTCACTTAGCCTGCTACTTGACTCATTATCATATTCATTTTCATCATCCTGAGCTTTAAAGCAATTAAGGGATATATTTTGTTGTTCAGTCATGACTCTTGGTGACCTCATATGGGATTTTATTAGCAAAGATGCTGGAGTGGTTTGCCTTTTCCTTCTCCAGCTTATTTTACAGGTGGGGAAACTGAAGCAAGAGGGTGAAGTGACTTGCCCAGGGTTACACAGCTAGTAAGTATCTGAGTTCGTATTTGAACTCAGGAAGATGGCTCTTCCTGACTTCAGGCCTGACCTT